CACGCTCAGTTGCGTTGCGTATCATCCGGGTACTCACGGGGGAAAAAACAATAACAAAGGCAACAACCAGTCCGGGGAATTGCGTTAGATCAGTGCCCCTTTAACGTAGGAGGTAAGCACAAAGTGATGCAGATCTTGAGTGTTATGGTGCTGATAAATCTAGAAACATAATCTGGGCAAACTGGGATTCAAACACACAATCATAGTTTTCTGGTGTGCCCAAGGGACCAAACTCTGCACAAAAAATTGTAGCATACTCATGCCTCCCATTACCAAGGGAATTTGTTTTGTTTTGTTGTTTGTATAAACACCAGTTCACGGGCACCAGTGAAACAAGTGCTGTTTCTGGTCATTTAACTTACATAGTTGTTATTAAGGTACAATAAACATGGATATATGCTTTACTTGAAGTGCATATTGAAGTCTCATGGGAATATACAACTTTGCAGCATTGGATTTCAAAGACTGAAACCGAAATATAGCAGAGGTGGATATAGAAGCTCCATATATGGTCATGTTGGAAGTGATTTCTTGCAAACTTACACACATGATCGCACAACAAGCCCATATCCCTCCATTTGCACCCAAGCAGGCAAGTTTCTGTTCATGGTCATGGTTGGCTGCCCATGTTCCTGGCAAAGCAAATCTGTAGTTGTTCTTCACCCTTTTAAACTATCCATTAAACAATGACTTTTTGTACACTGCACTTTGTAGAAGTGAGAGTAAAGGATAAAAATATACTCTTTTTGCTTTCAACAACAGAAATGTGACAAAGACCAATTACATCACAAATTGTGTTTACTATGAGGCATACTGGTTACTCTTGACATTCATGGAATCCATACTGGTATTATATGTACAACACAACTCCCCACAACTACTAGCTATAGTTATGAAACGATCATGTATTGCCTGTATCGGCAGGGGGTATTACCCAATCAGCTTGCAGGCCTAGCCGGCCATGATAACTAAGCCACGCCTCCTTGTTAGCTTCTTTATGATGTCACCAATACATACCTCAAAATACAAACTATTATTTTAGCACAACAGCGCTAAATTTACATTTTTACACTCGTTTTTTCTCGGCCATCTGTTGTACATCATACCGGCTACATAATGATGTAAGAAACATCTAGCACTATTATGGGCGGTCGGGTAGCCTAGTGGTTAAAGCGTTCGCTCGTCACGCTGAAGACCCGGGTTCGATTCCCGACATGGGTACAATGTGTGAAGCCCATTTCTGGTGTCCCCCGCCGTGATATTGCTGGAATATTGCTAAAAGCGGCGTAAAACCATACTCAGTCAGTCTAGCACTATTACTTGTGCTTTAAATGATAGACTGTATTATTGCTGACCATAATGTAAAATGAATTGACATTTACACAACTACTTCACACTACTTCAGCCTTGAACATGCAATAGTAAGATAGGCCATACAGGAGAAGCAAATGCCACAGATCTGAGACACACGAGGTAATGAGAAAGTGGTTATGGTTAAATACTGCCATAAACAACATTTCAAATATGTGATAAGTGAGTACGCTTTTCATGCCACTTTTCGCAATATTCCAGCAATATCATGGCAGGATACACCAGAAATGGGCTTCACACATTGTACCCATGTCCGGAATCGAACCTGGGCCTTCGGCATGACAAGCGAACGCTTTAACCAAGAGTAAGTGAGTGAGTATGTTTTTATGCCGCTTTTAGCAATATTCCAGCAATATCACAGCGGGGGACACCAGAAATGGGCTTCACATATTGTACCCATGTCGGGAATCAAACCCGGGTCTTCGGCGTGACAAGCGAACGCTTTAACCACTAGGCTACCCGACCGCCCCTTTAACCACGAGGCTACCCAACCACCCCTTTACATATGTGATGGCATGTAAGCCTAATGTGAGGGAATGACAAGAGTAACACTTGGCGACACCCATACACATGTCGAGCATTGATCCGCTGACAACTGGGGGAGGTCGGGTAGCCTAGTGGTTAAGGCGTTCGCTCGCCGAAGACCCGGGTTCAATTCCTGACATGGGTACAATGTGTGAAGCCCATTTCTGGTGTCCCCTGCCGTGATATTGATGGAATATTGCTAAAAGCGGCGTAAAACCAAACTCACTCACTCACTCACCCCGCTGACAACTGAAGCGGATCTGATGGATCAGACCATCCAACCTGTCCCAGGCAAGGGCCCCCAAAATAAATTATGTTTCTGATCTGGCCTAAAATTACACAACATGAGTAATTTATTCTTTTTTTCTGTATTATTCTCCTTTTTATCCACAAGCTAATCTGCATGATTGATTTACAACACTGAGCCAAATAGTACAATCATCCCTGGAGGAAAAACATAGTTGTCTCCAGTATTAAAAAGCCCTTCTCACAGTGATTTATAAAGTTCAGTAGAGTGATATCTATTCTGCGCTTGACCAGCCAAAACGGCCTCTTAACCTTCACCCCTCCCAAATCAAAACTCCTCAGTCTACTGTGAAATCATCTCCAACAAAATAACATCTCCCCCATTGACACACTTACTTACTTAAATTAGGAATTTTAACGTGCGCTTTCCGACATATGCGTATTTCGCGCATGGGCCCGCCAGGCCATATGGTGTTTGGTCGAAAAGGGTATGTCCGAAAAGGTGAGGCAACCTAAGGGGGGCTATTTAGGGTTGCTTACTTAATTTGGAGAACAAATTTGGAATTTTGAAATATGCCATGCAAAAGGTGGAGTGGGGGGACTAAAAGGAGTTTGTGTGTTTTTATAGGTTTAGAATTTTAGGGTTTATTGGCAGCTTGTTGGTTGTACTTTTATTTTTAAATGCGGCCAAGTAGGCCTGTTTTGATTAGATATATGCCTAGTGCTTTAAAAGTTTGTAAGTCATTTAGGGGGTTTAGTACCATTGCTAGTGTCAATTGATTGTTGCAATTTAGTGTGGATTGGAGTGTTGTTCTGCAATGCTGGTAATGTGTGCAATATAGTATTACGTGTTCAGGCGTTTCTTTTAAGTTGCAATGGGGGGGGGGGGGGGGGGGGGGGCATTTACTGGTTTGGTGTTTTTTAATTTGGTGTAGATGGGAGTTTAACTAAGTGTGGCCTGTTTGTAGTTTAGGTATAACTGTGTCAATTTTTTTGTTTATTTTAAAAAACATAGCCAACTTCCATAAATAGACACCTGACAAGCAACACCTACATAGACTGACATTCGACACCCATTACCAGTTAATGTCATGACAGTAGGCGGGGACAAAAATAGTAATGTAGGGTAGCTGAGGAAGTGGGGACTGAAGGAGTGGGGACTATGGAGGTGAGGGTTTAGGAACTGTGAGGGTCATGACTGTGGACTGAAGGGGGTTGGGACAGTGGAATGAGGGACATGGGGACAGTGGAGGTGAGGGGGGGGGGGGGGATGACAGTGGAGGTGAGGGTGGAACAGTAGAGGTGAGGGGTTGGGACAGTGGAGGTAAGGGTGTAGGACAGTGGAGGTGAGGGGATGGGACAGTGGAGGTAACGGTACGGTGTAGGACAGTGGAGGTTATGGGGGGTGACAGTGGAGGTAATGGTACGGTGTAGGAAAGTGGAGGTTATGGGGGGTGACAGTGGAGGTAATGGTACGGTGTAGGACAGTGGAGGTGAGGGGGTGTGACAGTGGAGGTAATGGTACGGTGTAGGACAGTGGAGGTTATGGGGGGTGACAGTGGAGGTAATGGTACGGTGTAGGACAGTGGAGGTGAGGGGGTGTGACAGTGGAGGTAATGGTACGGTGTAGGACAGTGGAGGTGAGGGGGTGTGACAGTGGAGGTAATGGTACGGTGTAGGACAGTGGAGGTTATGGGGGGTGACAGTGGAGGTAATGGTACGGTGTAGGACAGTGGAGGTTATGGGGGGTGACAGTGGAGGTGAGGGCATGGGACAATGGAGGTGAGGGGGTTGGACAGTGGAGGTAAGGGGGTGGGACAGTGGAGGTGAAGGGGTTGGACAGTGGAGGTGAGGGGGTGTGACAGTGGAGGTAATGGTACGGTGTAGGACAGTGGAGGTGAGGGGGTGTGACAGTGGAGGTGAGGGCATGGGACAGTGGAGGTGAGGGGGTTGGACAGTGGCGGTAAGGGGGTGGGACAGTGGAGGTGAGGGGGTTGGACAGTGGAGGTGAGGGCATGGGACAGTGGAGGTGAGGGGGTTGGACAGTGGAGGTAAGGGGGTGGGACAGTGGAGGTGAAGGGGTGGGACAGTGGAGGTGAGGGGGTGGCACAGTGGATGTGAGGGGATGGGACAATGGGGGTGAGGCGGTGGGACAGTGGGGGTGAGGGGATGGGACAATGGGGGTGAGGGGAAGGACTGTGGATGTGAGGGGGTGTGACAGTGGAGGTGTTTAAACTATAGAAGCATGAGTTGTAGCTGACAAGGAAGGCTGGAGTAGCATGTTTATCTAACAGCAAAGACTGACAGGCATATGTCTGGAGTACTCAGTGTTATGTAAGCAGCTTGACGAGATGTGGTACATTAGTGAACTTTCCTGATTAGGCTATTGACACTGAGTGACAATATGTAATTAAGGGAACACAGGATGTGGGGTATTATTTATTCAATCATGCACTGGCTGGTTGGACAATCTGGAAGTGAATAAAAGAAATATGCCACCTACGTTTTTTTGGTTGTTGTTGGTCCTCAATGTCAACATCAAATTTTTCAAAATGAAAATGCTAAGTTAATTTAAAGCCAGTACATGGTACAGGGGAGATGTGGTTATAAGACGTTATAAGACGATAAATTCACAGTGACAGAGACAATAGGTTTTAGTCACACCTAGTACTAACAGATGGACATACAAAGTCAGTGGACAACCAAATAGCATCATGCCATGTCATAACATATGAATACACAATGCCAAAGTACGAGAATCTGTACTTTACAAAGAAAGTGTTATCCCAAATATAGCATTTGTTATATGTCATAACATACTTGAACATTAAAATACCTGTAAAATGGCTCAAAATAACACTATTGAAAGCCTGGAGTCATCACTGACCCACAACCAACACCCGTGAAATAACCACAGGCTGCACCCACATGTAGTGTATGTATACAATACAATATACACTAAAGCCTCTCCATTCATTCATTCATCCCAGCTTAAAGGGGCAACTGGTTGGTTTTCTAGGCTTAGAGATAGAGCATCGCTGCTATTGATTGGCTGATGTTGGAGAGGGAGGGAGTAACAACATCACTGGTGTTGAGGCAGCTACAGTGAAGTGTACGATCTGTTTAGAGTTTACTGTCCCTTCTCCCAGACACTTGCTGCAGCAGCAACAACAGCAGCAACAGCAGAGCTGATGACTTAATCAGTGGATCTGCACGGCTGCTGCCCAAAGGATTCATTGTATCACCAATTGGACTGATTCCTACAAACATTTTTTATTTTACACTTTTTCACAATTTTTTCAATCTGAAGTTTATTAAGTAATAAATACTTGTTGCTCAGATGTGATGTGAAAGTAACTCATTCAGTCGTCAATAGTAAAAGAAGTGTTTAATAGAGTGAGTACAAGGCTGGAATTTGTTTGAACGGACGCTGTGAAACCGTGTCACCAGGACTACTGGCAATGATGTGTCACTGATTCAAAGACCTCCGAGCAAGACGGGATAGTTTTCATTCTTAAGGTAAGGCCTAATAATAAGATCAGTTTTCCTTTTCTCTGATAACTTTTTTTCCAACTTTCTTCCAACTGTTATGTTAACAATGATACCTCAAGAATTTCAATACTAACATACAAGAAATGATTGACATAATAGACAAATACTTGAAATAAAATTGATTCAGTTAAACATTTTATAATCCTGCAACCAACTTTTCAAAATGAAACTCATTATAAGATGGAAGGGACTTTTGCTTCTTTATGACTGTAGCAACATGTTGATGTGCATTCAAACAGTCAGTCAGTTACTTCAGGGTTTCATGTCCACTTCTGTTCCAATCAATTTCATTATCAAACAAAGAAGTTGATCACCCATAGTGTCTTCTTATTAGTTGCGACCCCTGAAGATCCGGGGTAGAATAGGTCTTCAGCAACCCATGCTTGCCGTAAAAGGCGACTATGCTTGTCGTAAGAGGCGACTAACGGGATCGGGTGGTCAGGCTCGCTGACTTGGTTGATGCATGTCATTGATCCCAACTGCGTGGATCGATGTTCATGATGTAAATCACTGGATTGTCTGGTCCAGACTCGATTATTTACAGACCGCCGTCATATAGCTGGAATATTGCTCAGTGCGGTGTTAAACAACAAACCAAACCAAACCAATCTTATTAGTTGCACATCTAGCTTGTTAATGTCAAAGGAGACATTAAGGTTTTTGACATCAATTATTACATTAATTATCAAGATGTAAATTCATGAAAAAATTTGCCATTTTTTGTGCCTATATATTGCCCATATTCTTCAGGTAACACTTAAATAAGAAAAAGTTCAAGTAACAGCAAGTGATATTCCATCACTACCGTATATAACCGTAGATAAGCTGATCCCATAGATAAGCAGAGGTATTAACTTGGTCTATGAAATCTGTATCAATTGTTATGTGCAGTAGATAAGCCGGATCCCCAACCTAAAACTTTGTCTCGTCATGATCTGTCATCAGAAATAGTATATCAACAAATCCATATTGAATTACGCAAGTTAATCCTGTCGTAATAAAAAGTTCTTAACTGTATATCTGAACTCATGTTTGTAATCTACGTAGTCTATTTTATTTATTTTAATCCTACTTTCATTCAATAATATTCATATTAATTTCGGTGTCCATTTGGTACATGTACTTACAACTTCTGTTTGGCCCGTTCACCAACCCACCGTTATTAACAACAACCACGTTCATATTACCGCTATTGACACCAACAGAAAAAGAGTTTGACGAAAGTGTTACCCATACATAAGCTGATCCCTTTCAACAGAATCTTTTTTCTGGTCTTCGGCTTATCTATGGTCATATATGGTACCCATGGTTCTGTTCAGTGAGTGAGTGAGTGAGTGAGTTGGGTTTAACGCCGCTTTTAACAGTATTCCAGTTATATCACGGTTTGTCACGGGTATGGTGCTGACAAACCTAGAAACATAATCGGGGTGAACCTGGATTCGAACCCACATTCATAGGTTTCTGGCCTGCCCAAGGGACGCAACTCTGCACAGCGAATCGCCACCCGTGCCCCATTCTGTTCAGTGACTTAGTTGATGGTGTGCCATGGTGCCTCAATAGAGGCATAATATCAATCACTGGATTGTCTGGTCCAGAGACGAATATTTCCAGGCAGCTTCAAGTAGCTGGAATATTGCTGAGTAGGGCACTGAACAACAAACAATTAAGCAGTACTGAAATATTCCCCTTTGAACACCAAATCACCCCCTTGACAAAATTTGTTTCTTTACTCCAGCTAACTTATAATTTGACATTGACATACAGGCAGGTGTGAGCTATGTTTATCAGCCCCACTGTATCCAGGTGTCAGAGTCAGTGTAAACGACACATGTTGAATAAATCATGCAAAGACTTTGACAACTGTTGGAAATGAATAATGCATTACATTTGTGCATTGAAAGAAGTCCTATTCTCACCTCAACATAAACATGAAGCTTGATCACTTCCTGTAATACCATTCTTGATTATGCTACAATCAATACATGCAGAAAACATATATCTTTACAAAACAAGAAGCAAGATTATTACACCTGTATAGACAGATAAAAACCTTGAATGAAGATGAACAGGGATTCAAGCCCATTATCAAAGGTTTGTGGGACAAGTAAGGGTATGCAACTCTGCACAGCAAATTGCTGCACCTAAGATAATTGGGCCATTCATGCCCCTGACAAAATGTCACCATATGAGAATGTCTCGGTGGCTGAAATATAAACCATTTGAGGGAAAAGGGGTTTAATACTGCGTTCAAGATTAAATAGCAATGTGCATGAGCATGTGTGTGTGCGTCTTCTTGTACCAGCCTGGACAAATGCCTGTTTGATAGTGCTAGCCCATTGAGAAACCCTGCTGCAGTTAAACATGGATACCCCATCAGATACAGTATACAGCCAAGTCTTTCATCTCATTAATGATTAATCTTTTAACGTCAACCATCTTTTAATCAAACCATCGACCTTCCTCTCTCTGTGAAGATGCTCTCCACTAGACCGTGGTCATGTCACAAACCGGATGTATTGGGAACGTTTCAGCTGAATGTGTTTGAACTGAACGTTATGCTCGTAACTTCTCATACACCTCACCAGTGTCACATGTAATGAATTATCATTACTAGTTTCCAAGCTACTACATTTATTCAGGGTGAAGAATCAGATCCATCTTGTGACCAGACTCTCAGTATAGTAACTCGATGTCTGAACAGTATTATTTATGACGTGACAAGCAAGTGCTGTCATTCCAATCAAAATCATGTCATGACATCAATACCAGGAGAGATGCCTCTAGGGTCAGGCGTTTGGTTATGTTGTGCAGAGTTATGTCCCCTAGTCATGCCAGGATTGCTGATTGGTTTAAACTGATTCTCAGTTTGTGAGCACCATACATGCATGCTCATGGGTTTCACCAAACTAGTCTACTACTGAGGCTGCATCGTTTCAGAGTCTGTACCTAAATTTGACACACAGTGATATCATGACCGAACAAAGAACCAATGAACAAATGGAGGAACGAATGAGGAGAGAACACAATGGGATGATATTAAAAAATATAAATAAATGATGTATTGTATTGCATACACAATGTTGACAGTACACAATCAGGGATACATTGATGTCTGTCGAGAGGCAGATAGTCGTCCCCAAGTCTGCAGCAAATGTCAGTACAAATTCCCCAAATGGAACTTAAAGGGGCACTGATCTAGCGCAATTCCCTGGACTGGTTGTTGCCTTTGTTATTGTTTTTTCCCCGTGAGTACCCGGATGATACGCAACGCAACTGAGTGTGACCAGAGACTGGGCTACCGTCTGCAAGGACAGCTACATAAACTTGGAGGGTGGAGGCAATATTTGTTTTACGCATTATTGAACACTGATTGGTTAACCGTGATCTATAAAGATTTCGACAAAGGGCGCATGTTAATTAATTTCTTCAGCCTAAACAAACAGACAAAAAGAACGGCGGAGCTCATTGGATGTCGTTATTTGGAAATACCCCTGATGGTTATAGTTTAATAATAATAAAAAGTATCCATGCAGTGAAAGCATTTTCGGATTTCGGATTTCAGATTTCGGATTGCGTCGATAATACGATTACTACTCACTTGTTGTAATCAACGTTTTCTCGTATAACCCTACACTTGTTTATTTGTCGTTGTCGTGAATGCTCAGTTAATGAATTTATTACAGGTACAATTAGTGGTAGCACCACTTAGATTACCTGACAAAGGTTCCCATTTGGCATTTATTGTGTCTGGGGTAATTATTCAATCTAAATCCGGGTTTGAAGTGAGGTGAAATGTGTGTTATGTAATATGCACGTGGCAGCCCAGCAAGAGGTGAATGATCAGTGGATTTACTTTTTTTTGTAAATCAACGGATCGTTCCTAGTCATCAAAGGATTAACAGAAAATTTGTTGATTGATTTATCACTGTTACCATGCACAGTGGATATGTCAAAAGGGAGTGTTTACATGTCTAGGTTTACTAAAACAAAGGGAATACACTCATATCATGGCGTGAAGTGTCGATGTTAGAACAACATACTTTGTTCAAAGGGTTAACTAATAATACGTTGATTGATTGGTCATTGTTATCTATCACTCAATGGATTTTTTAGGAACCATGGACGTTATGAAAATAGTTGCCACGTGGGCTTTCTCAGCCGACCCTTGAGACTTGACACCTATGTGTATGAAACAATCTAAGTGATCAATTGAGAAACGAACACGGGTTATAATATCCCGAAACAATATATATCTTTAAAAATAATTGATTGTTACAGAGACACGTGAAATTGAATAAGTTTCTTTGTACAGCTGCAGACGAGTGGGATATTGTTCCTTTGTGTGGATATTCACGGATACATTCCTCGAACAAGGAAGCTGCCTAAAATTTATACACATAAATTTGGTAGGTTGTAATTATGGTATTTGCATTTTGTTTTCCTTCATTCGCTGTAGCATTGAACCGATTCATTCTTGTTCCTCTACGTCTTGGTTGGGAAATTCTTCAGATTGACTTAAATTGATTAGGACGATCAAAAGGGCCTACAAACATCACAACAGATTATTATGTAGGATTAGAAGCCAAACAACATAGAAATGAACTTTTCAACATAACATTTTCAGTCTCTTGGTGATGACATTAAACATCAAAATGTTTGGAATTTGTTATCATAATAATACAGATGGAAATGTTTTTCAGTCACTTTGTAAAATAACTGAATATTTAGGCGTTTAATAAATTTGAAAATGTTACACATTTTGACAGTAAAAAAATATACACACAATAAAAAAAGCAATGCTCAGGTGAAATATTTACTTTGTGTTGCAAGTCAAAATAGTGTAAACGAAAATCGCAAATTTACCAAGCAAGTGTCTTATCAAAACTTCGTCACCATTACCGATGCTACCCACAAAGATACCTACATTTCCTTATTTTCTCGAAAACTGTATTTCATTTTGTTGATCA